CAAAATGGTTGTAAGAAAGAATAAACTTTTGATAATAGAACGGTACAGATAAGAAGGGAGAAACGGGAATGACAAAGAATTGAGCGTCTTGAGGACATTTAAAAAGGGACATAGTCCAAGGAAATGTATTTGCATATGATTGATAACCAGTGATTATCATGATCATTTTGATGATGATCAATGGGACTCGTTAGCACTATAACTGCATTCGCAAAATAGTTGTTACACCTTTTGCAGTGCCCACTCCACATGCGCTACTTTTATGAATAAACTTTTTTTAATCCTTTCACATCCCTTTAATGAATCATTTAGTTACTTTAAGCCAACACTGCTGTTAGTTGCTAACCAGTTCATTGGCAGTAGATTCAGGCTAGCGGAAAAGTGAAACAAACTATCTTTAAATTTTTACCTGCTGAAAAGTTTACATAATTTTATGGAGAAATCCCATGATCATGATCCTATTTTTATACTACCAGCATGGGAACACAGAAACATAAGTATCCACACGAGATGACAGCAAACAGATGGGATTTTGTGGCAGTCTTGCAAAAAATGATTAAATTCAACATTTCAATGAAATTTTTTTTTAGACTCAGATTTACTCATCTCTATGCTGATCTACTGGATGTGGTCTGGCGAAAATGGAGTAGGTATTTAGCGGTATACACAAAAAGACCCAAAATTGCTATTATCCTCTGACAAACTCTTGTAATTACCTCGAAGCCTATATACAACATGCAGAAATTTCGGATTAATAACTGAATCATGTGAAGTTTCATTCAAAGCATGTATGGATGCAGTAAATGTTCCCTTCGTACTTAAAAATACTCTTTATAGGGATCTCCTCCAAATTGTTTGATGACTTTCATCAGTAAACAAATTCTCAATAAAATTGCAGATAGTCGGGGAGAAACAATGGGGGGCAACTATCTCGCACCTGCAAATTTTTTGGTCTATCTTGTCTTTTATCGCTTTTTCCAAAGAGCAGGATTTGTTCCAGAAAATATTTTTTAATATTTCATAGAATTTACCGTATTGTAATGTTGCTTTAATGGCTTCAACTAAATTCCAATTAGCTTTCTTTGATTTAACTTTAGAATTTTTCGACGATTATAACTTTAACTGTCGACGATCTCCTTAATGATCTCAAATTCAAATTTGTTCAATAGAAATTTATATGTTTTTTGTATGTTAGGCAGACCACTTAAACTATGAGCTATGAACTTGGATTTATTTTTTTGTAGAAGATTTAACAAAGGTCATGTTCACTTATGCTTTTGATGACCCTAATTTCAAAAGGGCTGATTTTTATGATATTTTAATTGAGGGGAAGATTCAGTCAGAAGCAGGAGTGATTTTGCAATCAAGATATTCACCATTCTTCACATGAATAAAAAAATTAGAAAGAAATGTTCAAGACAATATATTGTAGCTTTCAAGTAATCCCGCAGAAATAAGTTTGATATCAATTGAGCAAAAAATCAATGCCACAAGTTTGTCGATCTTCTCATCGACAGATGTGACCTCGTATTTGTTAATTTAACAAGTGGTCGGCGTCATCCTGTAATCCGCCACTCATGTCACACTAAGATATTATCCTGTTTGATGGATATATGAGCAAATTGCCATGAGGTGAAAATTATGGATGTGAATTCCTCGATTGCTTTCCAAATTGCACTCCATTAACAATACATTGTCGAGGAAAGATGCTTTTACCTTATCCACATTTTCCAATCCCTTTGTTTTTGTAAATCTCTTTTTGACATTTTCAATCTAACTTCGCAAGTTCGCTAACTTTTAAACGAGTTTGAATGAACTAGTTTAACCTAGTGCTTCTCTCAGACTTCGCTAACTTTTATATGCACCTGTAATGCTACTATTATTCAGAGAATGAAATTTCAACCAGTAATGTACAAAAGCTGGAAAATGTATTGTGAAATATAATGTGCTATCGATTAAAATGTAAATATGATTTGAATGACTGGATATATATACCTATACAAAGTCAATAATCCAGGTTGGTTTGTCGCGATGGAAAAAACTGAAGAACCACAAATTTTCGCGTCTATAAAGCAACATACTTTGCATAGAAATTTTTTTTGTTTTTTTGCTTTCAAAAATGAGTTCGTAGAAAACAATAGCGCAATCATGCTTTTAGGGTTTCATTTTGCACCAAAATCTGTTGGATTTGTGTTTCTACCCAGCGTGTAACCAATAACTATTCTACTGTCAGGCAGTTTAAATTTGTAAGACCCTCATGTAAGCTGAGACAACTCTCGACGATTAGTAGTTGCCAAAGGAAGACGGGAAGAGTGCTTGAGGAGGCAGGAGAAGGTTAAAGGCAAAAAGATGTGGTAGAAAAGGGAAAGGCAATAATTCAGGATGCGCTTGATGAATGGTTCCATTCTGTCGGCTTACAAACAACTTCCAGCAAGCAGCAACGTTAATCCTCGTTCCCCCTTCCTGCCCAATATATTTTGTCCGTGAAAAGGGGAGGGGTTGACGCCCGTTTATCATTTTTTTCTTTTCCTGAGAGCTCTTGTTTTTGAAAAATGAACAGCTCTCAATCAAGCGCTCTCTTCGAATCAATCATACCAACTGCTCTGTCTCTGTCTTATTTCTCTTTCAGTGTTGTTTCGGCTTTCATAACAGATGAGATTTATCTACTTTTTCGTTTTAAACCTCTTCATCAATTCAAACCCCAAAATCCAGAAACCCAAATGCATAGCTGTTTCTTATTTTCCTCTCCGAGAAGTCCCTGAATTAGCCAAGATCCAGAAGTCCTCCAACCAACTTAGTTTCAGTATCGAAATATAGATTTTGGAATGTACTGCTCTTCTCTCCTTCTTTTATCCTCCGATTCATCAAAGTGTCCAATCTTTCTTCTCTTCAAGTCGCCCCCACCCATATTCCCCTTCTTCTTCTTCCCACCCTTCCCCTCCTCCTTATCGCCCTCTCCCGCGCACCTCTCCTTCACTTGTCTTCCGACTGCCCCAAGATAATACAAATAGTCTTTATTCAAATAAACGAAAAACATTAAATAATATTGGCTCTGCGATATTTCTGATTGCAGTGTAAATCAACAGCGATATTTAAATAATTTCTATGCAGATTTTCTTAAATTTCGATCCATTCTACTCATTGCATTCATAACACAAAACTGATCACATATAGTGACACTTACCTCCAGGTGAGACGAAGCAAATAAATGAGCCGAGCTCAAGCTGAATAATCTATTGCTTTCCTAATTGTTACGAAGGCAGAAAAACAAATCATAAAATAAATTATTTATTGGGATAAGAAGGCTCCTTTGATAATCCTTTCCTTCAAGAGACGCGAAAGATCGAGTTATAATTTTATTCAAACCTTCAATTACTTCCGAGAAAGGCAAAAAGGTGACTTAAACTCGAACTAATACAGCTAGCAAATTTAAATTTTACAGAAGCTCTGGAGATGAATTGGTTTTGATTTAACAAGTGCGGTAAATGGGAATGGAAACTATAAAATTGAAATAAGGGGTGGTATATGTAATTGATGGGAGTGACATGGATGTGTATATAATATGGATATGATCTAATCCCGCACCTCTCCCTTCTCGCTGTCTCATCAATAGTACAACATAATGATGATTGGTGTCGGCTCCTTCTTAAGGGTTTTTCTCTTTTTCATCTTTGAGAATTCGGGTTTGATGTGCGAGTGATTGGTTCGGATGGGACCCTGTCAAAAGACTTATATATATCACTTGTCATTGCGTTTATGTCACCCCTTCACTTCATCTAAACATCCCTCCTCCTATCCTTTTAATTATTATATACAACCTCCTCTTCTCTCCTCCAAACATCCGCCAATATACATTCATTTGTTGCATGTTACATTGATGTTCCTCAGTCTACTCCACCACTACTACACTTTATTTCTTTACTGTGATTTCGAAGAGTCATTTCCGATTCTGCTGTGACTATAAAATATTTTACTTCATTTCCAAAATTTCAAGCTCATACTGTTGAAGATGAAATAGGAAGTCTAAAAGAACACCAGCTTATTAACTTTCCAAGTTAATGGGTTGCATAAAAGGCTCGAAGATT